TTTTTTCAAATATGCTTAAAAAGATGTTTAGAAAAGAATTGAACTTCGAATCCATATCACCGCCACTGAGTAATAATTCCATCTTCACTACTGAGATGTTGTATAAATTCATTTAAAGTGACTTCATTTATCACTCTAGTTACCTTTTTATCATTGCGAAAGTTAGAAATAATGTTTATGTTTTTTATAACTAATAGTTGAGCATCATGATCAGATAGCCCATTTAGTACCGGTTTAATGGAAATATGTTCTAACCTGTAACTATCTACAAAAATATTATCAATGGCAGAGTTGGAGCTATTTAGAATTCTTGTGGGAAAGCTAACTGTAGGTGTAAGATTAAACATTGCTAAAAGAGAATTTAGACATTGCTTATGGCAGCTTTCAGAGAGATAGTCAATATTTATATCCCCAGAGATGACAAATTCTGTTTTCGGTTTGTAAAGGTAGTCCATAATGCTGTTTAACTTGTTAATAAATGTTTCAAAGTCACCTGTTGGTGCTCTGTATATTGCTAAAAAACATAATTTAGAAACATTTATATCAAGTTGTACAGCACAGCATTCTAGCATGAAGGTAATCATGCACTTGCTCCTAAAACTGATGTGTCTGAAATTTGGATGCCTGTTTTGACAGTGTAGGCACAGTTTTGGTAATTGAAAATAGTGATATGAAAATTAAGTTCATGAAGGACTATTTGGTCATACAGGGGTTTGGTACCCCATTACTAAATTTTGTCCTTACAAGACATATTTGAGTAAATTCTGTTTATGTACTTTGTATGTCAAATCCATTCAAGATAAAAGTTTAAGTGCAATATTCTTAAATTCTGCAGTTTCCACAGATGTCCTTCTATTGTTTGTTCAAGTCCTCACCCTTATTATTTTTTATCCATAAATAAATTTACTTCATTTATTTTTATTCTTGTGTTAATTTTCCCTCCATTTTTATGTGTTGTTTCCAGGAACTAGCAGATTTTGAAAAGATGCCAGATGAACCTAAAATAGATGCTAATGGTCAGTATAATTTAAGAATATTCAAAATATATGTTTACTGCAAAATGCATGGAAATTAAATTTGGAAATATTAATAAAGAAATTTTTATTAATTTCACAATGGAAACATTTTTGGTAATTAAGTTTTTCCTACCACTAGAATAGAATGAATACATTTAAGGACAAATTATTGTAAAATAAATGATTTGTGCATGATTGGAAAACATCAAAGTTCTTAAGATTGTTGTTTATAAGTACTATAAATAGTTTTTCATAACTCTAATATACACCACCATACCAGCAGTAGGTGTTGTATTGTATGTTAATTCATTATTATTTCTAACTTATATTTTATATGGGTAAGCAATTAAAACTACAATTCATTTTGGAATTTCATTTCTATATGTAATTCTCATACATTATTTTGTTTAATGATCTTCAATGTATACCTGCAGACATTTGAGTCCACCATGTTGCATTAATATTGTTTCAGGAACTGGCAAGTTATTCACAGTACCCAGAAGATCCAGCAATTGAAACAGACAGTAAGTATCGTGGTGTGGGCCTTTTTGGGGGGAATTGATAGTATGAGTAACTGTTTGGGTTCAAGTTTGTCATAGAGAAGAGTGGGAAGACAAGATGTTTCATATGGGTCTTAAATAATCCCAAGTAATATTATCATCTTCGTAATATCTAGGCTCCTTGATCACAAGCTTTAAAGACATCCTCATAGAAATAAAAGCAAGAATTGCTGCAGGTAACAAATGCTACTACGCTCTAGGCCAAGTTCTCAGGAAAAGGTATATCTACCAAAACCTTAAAGTGTGGTTGTACACTGCTATAATACGACCTATAGTATTGTGCGGATCTGAATGCTGGACTTTAACATCTCTAGCTGAAAGAATGTTTATGTCCTGGGAAAGGAAAATTTTAAGGCAGATTTTTGGTGCAATATGTGACAATGGCCTATGGAGAATTAGAATGAATATCGAGCTGGAGAAGCTGTTCAAAAGCTCAGATATTGTAGCCATAATAAAGGCAAGAAGGATAGAATTGCTTGGACATATACTCTGAATGAGTGATGATAGAGGATGTAAGATGATCATCAATAGTAAACCTCTTGGCAAATTAAAGAAAGGAAGACCGATCGAAGACTTGGAGTCTGATCTTAAACGGATGGGCGTAAGAGGCTGGAGAATAAAAGCACAGAATAGGGAAGACTGGGCATCGATCGCAAGAGAAGCCAAGGCAACACTGAAAGGGCCATAGTACTAAAGAAGAAGAAGAAGAACTATAATAATCATCACCAGCTATAAGCTTGTAGTCATTGAAGTGTGTTTTTAATGTTTTTGCTTATATGGATTGGACTGTTGGGCATGTTTGAACTCAGAAATGATTTTCACAGTATTGATGTTCACAAGTTTTTGTGCAGTTTCTAAGCATAGTTGCCAAATTTTGTTACCTGTTTGGATTACCAGGTCTATTAATCTTTCAACAAGCTTATTGAATTAGGTCTTTAAATACACGATATGTGTTCAGACATAGTGTTTCATATTTTATTATAGGTATCTTCAATGGTCCATACAATTGATAGTTGTAGACCAAATTTGTTATATCTTATATTCAGAAATTATTTAGACCCATGTTCATACTCTGTCAGAATTTTCTGTGGCTGGTGTGGTGTATAAATTAAGTCTGCAGAATTTCGTAACATATATGGAATTGTGGTTTGTCACTCATTGTGTCAAAATTCTTTGGTTCTCTTGGTTTTTAAAGTGATTAGTTTCAGGTGTTGAACCTGTAATGCACAATTAAATCAGTGGGTTTGTTCACATGACCTACATTTGTTGCAGTTCTGGAAGAGGACGGTTTTAATCCTGAGCATCCATATTTCTACTGTTTTGTTGCTGAACGATCCCTTGAAGACAGTGGTGATGCTGTTGTTCCAAATAATAGTGGGGAGTTTTCTGACATAGGTAACAAATATGTATATATATGTATGGATCTGTATGTGAACTAAAATAAAGAATTCTCATTTAGTTTACGTGGCATTCAGACATAACAGTATAAAAGTTACATACATGCAAATTTTGAGCACACTGTGATTTATTACCAAAAATTCAACAAATTTGCTTTTCTTTATAAGACAGGCTGGTGAACACATTGTTTTCCTTTTGCATTTCTCTCCAGATTTTTTTTAGGAGCAGTGGAATGTAAAACAATCTACAAATAGCTTTGGGATTCAAACCCATTTTAAGGACTTTTTTATTTTTCTGGCAGTAAGTTATGGGCTCACACATACATTGAATTTGATATATAATTCAATCTGCAGTGCCTATAAAGTAATGACACACTGAGAGGCATTTCATAATTGTTATATACATTTATAAAGAAGCATGCAAATGAATATCGGAAATATTACTTCAAAAACTTAATTTATTTATCATGCTTGAAAGCTGAATTTAACCATAGCCCATTTTATTTCCTTATAGGAGCATGTGGAAGTTCAAATACAGGAACAAGTGATGATTCTAATGCAAATATATTGTTAGGATATGCACTGTACTATTATACTTACTCAACTTGGAAGGGAAAGGCACTCTACTTGGAAGATCTTTATATAACCCCTGGTTGTCGAGGGCAAGGTCTGGGATCAGCCATATTTAATAGAGTAGCCAAGGTAGGAATCTGTTAATAAGTTTTTGTTGTTTTCTAATACCTGGTGTGTTGTATAAACTTTTAAAATTTCTTGTAACTATAGTGTGTCCCGTGCCTTAGCCGCGCGGTCTGAGGCATCATGCTTCGGACTGGTGATATGGAATGGTTCGAGTCTCGGGGAAAGAAATTTCTCATGAGATTTTCGGCCGGTGTGTGGGACAAGTGCCAACCCAGCATCGTGAGGAAATTGGGGAGCTACAATGGGTAGCGTAATCCGGTCATGAAAACTAGCAATGGCTGGGGGTTCATTGTGCTGACCACACATCACCCTATATCTGGTTGGATGATCATTCACCTCTGCTCAAGCATGTGAACGTGAGGCCAGCAGCCAGCTAGTCAGCTTTGGCTCTCAAGGGCTATTACGCCACGGATAACTATAGTGTTATGATTTTATTGCAAGACAAACTTCAATATTTCTTACTTCTTTTATAAGCAAAAACAGATTTATAGTAATGTTTCTTAAACTTATGTGAAACCTTTCTCTGCCCAAGAAAGTACTGACAGAATCATAAATAAATATTGCAGGTAGCAAACAAACTAAAAACATTTTTTGATGAAATTATGATGCCTAATGTCATTCAGATCAAAGAATCTGTATTGTATGGCTAGTGGAAAGTATCAGTTAACATTATAGAATTGATGATCCATTTATGTATGATTTCTACTAGTACTGATTCCCATCACATTAGACATAACCTTAAACCATAGTCATTATGTTTGTAATTGTTAATAACTTCATCAGATGGATCATTATGTAGACATATATTAGACTTTTTTTGGCAGATAGATCACACTTTTATGTACAACCTTACATTTTATGTGCTTGTTAAAAATTACAAATGTTGTGGTACAATACTTTGAGGTTATGTCATGCAGTTGCAAATCTGTACTAGCAGTAATTATATACAGAGTAGGTCACTAAGGTGTATAATTCTTAATTTAAAATATCCATGTGTCTGTATAGCTATAAACAAAAGAAAATGTTTCATTAGGGTTAATTTTAAATTCTTGTATTGTTAGTTGGCTGCCTGCTTAAGCTGACATTCTAGTGGAACCAAAAGTCATTAGTGTAGTCTGATTTAAATGCATGTTTTTTTATTCTATTTTATGTGACACTTTGATTGATTTACTTATTTCAGAGAGCTTTTGAGTCTCGTTGCTCTCGATTAGATTTTGCTGTCCTTAATTGGAATCCAGCTCGAGATTTCTATAAAGCAAAGGGTGCAATTGACATCACAGAAGAGGAAGGCTGGCATCATTACAGACTAGATCGTGAAGCACTGGCAAAGTTGGCATTGGAAGTAAACAAGGTTAATGTCAATAATGAGTAGAATTTGTAATAAGTTACCAGTTCTTTTGCTTAAACAATATTATTTCTCTTAAATACAGCAGAACCAGGGTTGGTTTCAGTATTTATAGTGTGTTATCATCTTTCTTACACAGCCAGAGATATCAGTTATCAGAACATTTTTTTATGGTATGCAACAATATGCCATGCTAACAACTTCCTAAAAAAAAACATATGCCAATAAGAATTAATCAGTAATAAAGATTCAAATAATTACAAACTTTTTGTGTTTATTCAAATTCCTTATTTCCAGTAATTCTATATAAAAACAACAGACATCCCCACCCCACCCCACTTTCACTTCCCCTTCCCCTTCTGGCACCTTAATTTCTAGAAATAAACTTATTTAACCAAAATGAAAACATTGACAGTGGAACCACGGTTCCGGAGAATCTGACGTAAATACGCAAACGCAGCAGTAGCGTGAAGTGCGATGTGCCTTTATTTGTATAAATAAAGGTTTGTATGACCTAAACCATTTGTGGTATGTAAAATCTGAAAACAGATATGGAAAGCTCAAGAGGTAATACGCAATATGTCCAGATCCATCTCTTACGGTTTTCGAGAGGCGGGCGCTTAACGCGACAGATGCATTGAAAATTGTATACATTGGTTCATTAAAATTACAATAAATGTATAAACAATTATAATTACAATAAAATACATTACAGATTCTTAAAGGTCCTTATTTACTGATCATTTTACATATAGTTTACATTACCCTTACTCTTACCATTCCTGAGGAATGAACGTTTAAAGGTGACTCGGCGCTGGATCTTACACATCTTCGTAACGCTGTTTTTGCCGAATGACCCTTCCTTATAGACGTATTTACGTCAAAAGAAGGCATGCCTATTTCTCTTACATGAGTTCACAAATGCAGATGAAATCATTAAATGTGATGAACAATAATAATAAATAGGAATCCCTTACCTCAAACTTTGTTCAATTGTAAGAGACCACGATGTCCACCAGCGACGATCTATTTAATCAAAACTAAAATGGACAGAGTGAAGGGCGGTATCACAGAGTTCTTAATAATTCATATATAAGATAAGTACTTGTGATATTCTAAAACGTTTTTAACAGCACAATATTATCTACTCTACGACGCACTTCTTCTACAAGCGATTCACAGCGCAGCTCTTTCCACAATAAAGAAGGCGGATTGTTGACGGCAGTAATGAAACACAACAATGCCGAGTAAACAGATGACATAACAATTAGTTTCTTAGGTAAAGGAGTGGATTTCAATACGGTTTATTCAGGCAATTATACAGCATGCATAATAAATGAGAAAAGAGCCGTATGGCATGCTCAGCCAATATTGTTGCAGGCGTGTGTTAGAAATTCGAATCCTTTTTCTTGCATTGTTATGCACGCAGGAGTTCATATAAATGTTGACCATTGTCGGTGCATATTTACACATTGTTGGTATGGATCTTACACAATTTCCTAACGCAGTTTTGCCGAATGACCCTTCCGTATAGACGTACAAATCAGTTTGCACACATTGGCTTGAAAAGCTGATATTCATTCAGCTTGTCAAAGGCTGCAGAACTGTATGTTCTTGCTGGCGTATTCTAGGATTAATTTAGCTATTTTATCTTTTACAGTTAATGTTTACAGAAATTAATAGATCAAATCGTAAAATACTATTAAGACTTGAACATGAAATGTAACTGAGTAAATCTAAAATACTAGTATTTAAGAAAGGAGGTGGACTATGTATGGCCATATATATATATCAAATGTCACTATTGAGTGGTTAGAAGTTCTCTGGAGCTTTTGTAACAGAAATCTGTCCATCTCTGATTGCAATGTAAAAACTCACAGATTTCCATATGTGCACTTCCTAACATGTTCATATTTGGGTGGTCGTGGATCCGAACATTGTTTAAGAGGCTGGCTATCAAGAATTATAAATTTACATTGTTCCTCTCAGTTCCAGCAGGCAGATTCTGGGACAGTACTTTAAGATTGGCTATGATCACTTCCTTTCACATCCCTTTCCTTTCATCTTTTATAATAATCCTACTATTCGAGCCTATGGAATTGGAAAAGTATCATTAAATTAATCTGGTTGACACATCATTAAATGAGAAAAGGATAGAAAAATTAATAGCCTGATGCATACGTTTTTCTTTCAACTCACTTTGGTGATAAATCAGAAATATTTCAAATGGTAACCTATACTCAAATCATAACACATTTAAAAACAAATTATTTAGAAGGTCACTAATGTGCAGGAGATACTGTTCAGTTTGAATGTTATTCTCTTGTTGTCACTCCTCTCAGTCACTGAGGACAAGGACAAGGTGCATAAAATAGAAGCACAATGGTGAAATGGCAGTTCTCCATCTAAATACTTAATCTCTAAAAAAATGAATGAATTTCGATAATATTTTACACTGAATGTTTGCACTTAAAACTATCAGTTGAATTTAATTTTAAATCATGTAAAACTACTCTGAAAAAAACCCGAAATCGAATATTACCAATTCTCTTGAAAAGAAAAAAAACCCCGTCATACGACAACTGGTATGTGACATAACATACAGATCTCATTAATATTTGCAACATTTAGTTGAAATGTTGCGAATAGCTGGTGGATGGAATTTACTGTAAATCATGAGACTAAAGAAATTACAAATCTGATAAACGTTGTCCGAAAGTGAAAATCATTTTCATGTGTGTTATGAATATCCACACATGGATGCAAGTCAACAACAAACATTAAAACAAAGTCTCATGAAACAATGTCCTCTTCTTTTGTACATACTCATGACAAATTATTTTTACAAACCTGTTGCTCATATATGGATACAAAGTAAATAATAACCTTCTTCTTCTTCTTTTTCTTCTATGGTTCTCCGGTCAACCAGTTCAATATAAAACATCAATTTAGTAATGACTGCATGCATATCCATAAAAATTTGATAAAAACAATAAATTTGCTAGATCAATACAACAGACACAAAACATTTCTTTAATTCAGCATGTTCTATACAAAGTTGCTTACCAGGACAGTGGTTCATATATTATATAATGTGTATAAAATATCTACATAATATTAAGGAATACATTGTGTTTTTCAATAAAGTCTTCATCCATATAAAGTTTTATTTTACCAGTAAGAAGATATTTTCTCAGGTATTATATATGGTTTGGTAACCACATCATTTCTTTTTATAATCACATTTTATATTTGGGTATGAATGTTTAACCTTTATCCGTAATGACAGACATATTTACACTGTGTACATGAATGTATTTCACATTACATAATTTTAATAAAAATAAATGTACTTAAAGGACACAACTAAAATATAATGACATCTTTATGCTTGAGAGTGCAAGTACCATCTGTTCACTTTCTAATTTTTCACCCTATGATACTGAGTGTTTTTCTGACCTTCTGCTGTAATCTTGAAACTTCTACAAAATCCAAACATAAAATATAAGAGCATACTTACAAAGGCCAGTTAAATATTAAGCAATAAGCTGTACTCTAATAATAGCCATACATATTTTACGTGATTAAAAAAGAATAAAACAGGCTGCTAAAAAGTATTGTATTAAATAAAATGTTTAACTTCAAAACTAGCACACATTTTCAAGGTCAAACTATTTTCATCAATCTGTTCTATGAACAAACACTTTCTGTGCACAGTGAGAGATCAGTTATCTATCACACACAGTGTGGTATATAAGGTAACAAGCTATTCTTGAAAACATGGTTATTTTGTTATTGTAAAGGTCACTTGTGCAAGCAGTATTAAAGCCCTACTGGTCAGTGTTTGAAGGAAATAAAGAGCAAATGAAAATAAACAATTTACACCAGTGGTCCCCAACGCGGTGTCCGCGGGTGCCATGGCGTCCGCCAAGGCTTTTCTTGGGTGCCCGCATTATTATGGAAAGAGGTTATACTAAATAATGAAGGCCGTTCAACCATGAACATTATAAAATCAAAGCTCAGATCTCGACTTACTGATGCCCATCTTCACGATTGTTTGCGAGCAGCAACATCATCCTACACTCCCAAATTTGAAAAACTGGCCGATGAAATGCAATGCCAAACATCACACTAACTTCCCACTTGAGTAATAATATTTGTACTTATAAAACTACGTATTTTTGATTGCGTGGTTTCTTGTATCATTAAACGTCGTGTTGTTTTGTGTATTATTTGGTGTCCATATTTGATTTGTCCAGATAAAAGAAAATTTGGCTTTGTTAACTGGTTGGTGCCTGCCATGATCTCATAAACTCTCAAATGTGCCCGTAGGCACAAAAAGGTTGGGGACCACTGATTTACACTCTATTCTTGCCAACATACATAATACAATAGATATTTCAAAATGGTGTAAACCTTCAAATATTCCTTTAATGGGTTCTAATGAAGATGTGTTATGTTCAATACTGTATTGCTGTTCTTCTGGAGCACAATCAGCTCCTGAAATGTAGTGGACTCATTTTAGAATTTTAAACGATAGGCAACGTCCAGATGAATAACAATAATGGACTTCATATGTTCATTGGTTGCTTCTGTTCAAGGCTGCAAAACATGACTGATTATATCTTTAGAGTGTAGGGGTTCTTACACTTTATGGGTGTCACCTACACATATTTAAGTTATTCTTAACTTACCAATTAAGCAATAAGAATTTTGGTATGGAAAAAATATTAAAATATTCAATATGAATGCTTCTGTCTTATTTAACTTAATAATATAAGGCAAGATAAAAAGTCCTTTCACACACACACTCTTACATAAAATAATTGACTAACTCCATGGAACAGATACTTCCTTAAGATGATGACAGTTACTTGATCAAGAAATTCCCCAGTTTTTATGGCTCCCGAGTTTGGGTTATGTAGCACATTTGGAAGATGAGAAATGTTTATGAAGTTTTGGTTGAAAATATGAAGGGAAGAGACTACTTGGAAGAACCAGGCATAGACAGGATATCAAACTGGACCTCAGAGAAATCATGTGGAAGGATGTGAGGATTATTTAGGTCAGAACAGGGATTGGTGGCAGGTTCCTTAAAAACCACTAATGTCTTCACTGGCCAAACCATTATCATCTCAAGAAGGGCTCTCCATGATAACATTAGTTTTAGGATCAAAGAAATGACATACATCAAAACTTCATTTTAATTATTATTTTTGTTTCAGTTTTATCAAAAATAAACAAAATTCACCCAGACTTCAAATGTTAAATTCCTGATTAAAAGTAAAGAGAGGACCTCTGGGCTGAATGAAACATATCTTGAAGATGTGTGGGGGAATAAAGATAAAGCTCCATGCTTTATTAACCTTGGCACTAGATGGTGGTCAGCTTCATGCCCTGTCTGCTTTACCCCTGGGGAAGAAGTCCTCAATACCTAATGGATGGGAGACCTAGTAGGCTCTAGAACCAGTCTGGATTTGGTGGCACAAGACAAATCAGTGGCTCCACCAGGAACTGAATCCTGATCATATATCCCATAGCCAGTTCCTTTAAGTTCCTGAATAGGTAAATTAATTTAATAATATGGTTTTACAAGTATAACAAATAAATTGTATGTTAAATTTAATAGACTGAAAAATTTCTGTCCTGTATGGCTTCCATGTATGGACATCTCTGTAAGTTGGACACATTTTCGTGGAACCCCAAGTGTCCAACTTAGAGAGATTTTACTGTATAAAAATAATGACTCCTAAATTACATATAAAGTATATATTATGATTTGTATGACACTATACAAAATGTAATTTTTCATGGTAATTACATGCAATTAAGTCTTCCCAGGTGATGAATTGCATGTTGATATGAAGTAAGCTTTTCACCGTTTGGGAGAATCTCTATAATGTATCATTTTTATTCCATGTTAATGGTCAATTTTTCCAACATGGATTTTACAGTTGAATCTGCTTTTTTTTACATGCTCTTGAAAAATGTGAGAATGCAAACAAAAACATTAGTTGGGCATGTGAGAATGTTTCACAAGAAGTTAATTCCACCAATTTTCGTTTCCCCATCACAAAAAGAAAAATTCCATTTCTGTTAACACAGTCAGAACTCAAATGCAAGCACAGAACTGATGGAGTTAAAGCTGTGTCTTCTGCAATACTGTAGTCCAATTAAGGGTTCAGCAAAAGAATAGTTAAACACTTGCAATGCATTCCAATGATGGCTTCAATGTCCATAAGATAATCCTCCAGAGAGGAGGCATTCATCAGTCAGAAATTCAAAATAACAAAATATGTAACTGAAAAAGTTTCCCTGAAAAGCATCGAAGTTAAGTGCACGAACCTGTCCAACTTACAACAAAAGGGGTGTTCAAGTTCCAGGATAAAGGGGTGTCCAAGATATAGGGTATTCTGGACATGTAAAATTATAGCATATTCGCCGGTTCCAATTAGAAGCATCCAATATAAAGGGGTGTCCAGGATATAGGGATGTCCAAATTGAGGGGTTTTACTGTAGTTCCTTTTTAATGTCTCAGAAGACAAATATTATATGTTGCAATTACATAAGAAAGAAATTAAAACTATTAATATTTTTGAAGATTTAGAAACTATTAATAATTTAAACCCAGGAAAGGCTAATTCTGGAGACTGATGAAACCTGATTTATTCAGATTAGAGTTTGGCTGCATATCCATATGTCTCACACACATTGAATTTTAAGTCTTTCATATTTACAATAGTAAAGGTGTCATTTCAAGATTAATGTTACAAAATTCTCTCATATAGTTTGATTTTCGAGTAATGCTGTTATATTGTTCTAAATCTGAAACAGACATTTTATCCAACTACACAAAACCATTAAGTAAATTCAATTAATTTACACTTCTTTGATGCTTGCAACAAAGTACAGCCTCAAATCAAATTGTCAAAGATACTCATCTTAAGAAATAATATATACCCTAATTTAGTATATGAACTGGACCAAGAATTGAAGAGATAACAAATCTAGATAAAGTATAAAATATTTATATTTTAATTACAATTATAAAGTGTTTCTCACTGTTACCTTATATCAGTTAAAAATAAATGGCATCTTTGTTTGAGTTTGTAACAGTCTTCATTACTATATAATGATTATGTTGTACACTAACCACATACAACACATAAAATGTATGAAGAAGCCTCAATGAAAAGTCAACTGAAACTTCCTTTTGTTTATATCTGAACATTTCACTTCTTAATGGCTACAGATGTCTCTTCATTTGGGTGGCATATCACCAGATCAAACTGAAATGGTGCACTTATTGGGGAACAAATCAACATCATGGATTCTCTGAACTGAAAGGGTCTGTATTATGTGGAAAATTTAAGTACAGACAAACCTAAGGACCCAACTTCCTGCATTATAATGCTGGAATTTAGACTGTTTCAATTAACTTCAAATGAAAAACAATAAAACATGCAAAAATTAAGAAGTCAAACAACAGTATTATGAAATAAATCACAATTAAAAATAAACATCAGCTAAGTATACATGTATGAAATTTATGTATCTGATAATCCCATTAGCAACAAACTACTGTGTATCAGTTTTGAGGAACAGGTTTAACTTATATACTAAGGCCAGTCATAGTTAGGTTCACCGAGGTTTCCTTCTGCTTCTTCAGACAACTACCAGGACAGTACCGGAAGTAGGCCATAATACAAGTAGCTTTCTCCCTAAATATCACTTACGTACAATCCATCACCATCAATCACTAGTAATCATAATTATTGTCTTGATTTGCCTACCAACAAGAATAAAGTGTGCACAAAAATTAACAAGATCTTATTAAAGCATAAAAGACTTCCACTTTGAGAAAGAGACAATTTTATGAGGATGTATGCTGCTATAAATACATGAAAAGTGCATGCTGTATGTTCATTACAGACATCACATTGGACCTGCTGCCAATCATCAAGAATCTACTCTACTGTTATTTGCGAATAAGTGTTCTCAGTTATTGTCTGATGGAAACATATTAACACGAGGTGTCAGAGATGAATGAGGGTTTGGAACATTTGGAATGTGATGTGGGGGTTGACTGACAGGTGGGGGGAGTGAAGAGTGACCTCCAGTTAAACATGAAGGCAGAAGGTTCCTACCTACACTCTGTCCTGGGCCAAGCCCACCACCCAAAGTAGTCATATCTGATAAGATACGATGCTGATTTTCCAAAACTGCTGAAATGGGAACCATCTTCGCAACATTACTCTCCATTCCAGAACTTTCAATCATGTCACTGTCCATAACCTTCCCTCCAAAGATCATATGATGCCAGCTCTGCTGATGTTGATTGGTCTCTGCCCTTAAAGTAGTCAGTGTATGATGGTGAGGAGAAGTTGTGTTGCTAAGTGTTTTGCTGTCATTTTCGGAACCATGGAGGTGAGACTGGAGGAGAAGGTGTCCATCATTGACACCTCTTCGTCGGGAGATATCGGTTGGTAAGGGTGGGTTAGGTTGATGGAGAGACAGCTGACCAGTACCCAGTGAAACATTTGATGAAGACGGTGCTTGCTGATTCAGTTCATTGCTGATGAGATGACCAACCCATTTACGGCTATCATCAGAGTCACTTATTTTGTTATGGCTTAATGCAAGGTGGTCTTCAAGTTTTGGTTTACGATCAAAACCTGCACCACAAAGTTGGCATCTAAAAATACAAAAACAACAAAAGTAACAGAAATATTAGTACTAACACTGTTTTTCCTTCTCATGATGACAATAATGAGATGGTGACATAAGGTTGCTTGAGTTTGTAGTTGATTTGCCTACACTGGTTATACATAACTGTCAGCACTGCAAATAACAAACCAAATTTAAAACAATCTATTTCCACCCATCTTAATTTTTATTTTAAAAATGAAATAGCATAGTAAAATTATGATGACAATACTTACAAATATAAAAAATGTGTTTAAAGTTGTGATTACTCATGACACTGTACAGATATTACTAATGAAGAAGGGACTTAGATATTTTTTATACATTCTGTGTTTATACCACACAACTATATATTATACTCATGCATTATACATATGTAAGATACATGTTATATCATGATAAATATGCATCAGGTCCAACCCAAAGATCTCAGATTGACTTTTTTATGTTTGTAACAAAGAAAAATTGATACATGAAAACATTTATCATGGGCTCTTGTGAATACAGTAATGAACCTTTGGGTTCTATAAAAGATGGGTAACTGCTTGACTAGTTAAGTGACTATTAGCTTCTCAAGAAATTCCCTGCCTCTTATGGAACCTAAAAGTTCATTACTATGTTCACGAGAGCCAACCACCAGTCCATATCCTGTCCTAAATAAAAGTAATGCACACCCTCCAACCCCATCTACATCTAGGACCCAAGGCCCTTTATAAAATCTGTGAAATAAATACTGCAACATTTCATCGTATAAAGTGTGAAGGTAAGAAATTTAAGAAGGAGAACTCTTTCATCTAGAAAATAAAATCAAAATCAAAAAATCACTTATAAATACAGATGCAGATGATAACATAATTTCCAAGAAGACAATGTACCTGTGTATTTTCTTGAAACTACCTTCCCTGGCATTGGCTCCCAAAGGATCATGAATACGATTGTGCGCAACCAAGTTATAACGTTCAGCAAATCTTTTACCACATGTCTGGCACTGATATGGGCGCTCCCCTGTATGAACACGGGAATGGCGCTTAAGATGTGAGCCTGACAAAAGTGCCAACCCACAGACCTTACACTTGTAGCTCTTCTGACCAGTGTGTGCCAGTGTATGCATGTTGAAACTTGTGTGATGAACAAAACGCTTGCCACAAAGTTCACACTAGAAAGAAGTCAGATTTATATCACATTAGATTTTAAAACAGTCATCTTTCAGACACGAAAATTATTTAATTTTTTTACTGCAGACAGGTTGTTTGTCCCAAGAATTTCAAACTCTATTTGCAGAAACAAAGATGTTAGTCTTCTATCAGACAGAAATCAAACATTGGAAATTACCTGCATGATAATAATAAGTGATGGAAATAGAGTGAAATATGAATGAACAGGCAATGCATTTAAAAGCATAAAACATTAAAGAAATAAAACAAATGAGTTCTCAAATATAACTGCTTATCTGGCAATATGGAACTATTACCAAACATACCTCTGAATATAGGTATTTAAAATTACACTGTATAAATCAGTCATGCCTAAATTACAAGGCTACAGTGGTTATTTTTATAGCTTGCATTCTGCATAATGGAAATGACACCACTTAATAAATGCAATAAAAATAAAATAATGTGGCACTCCTTACTCTAAGACTGCAGCTAAAGATCTATTAAAATCATACTGACTTGACTACATTAATAACTGATAGCTATATAATGACTGAAATATAATACCACTGCTGGTAAATTTGCAAAAATATGTAATCTAATGCCTTGATTACCACAGGAATGTCAGACTTGGATGAATCCTGCGTCTACTTGCATTACTATCCGCTCACCTCATTCAAGAGAACTAACAAAACCTACCTCTGGTTATATTACTGAAAAATAAATTAAATTATCAACATTTGTTTAGCACAATTTAGTGAATAATACCTGAAATGGTGCTTCCCCAGTATGAATGGGCAAATGCCTCTGAAGGGCTCCTTTCTGAGTAAATGCTTTATTGCAGAATGGGCAGCTGAACGGATTGATGCCATTGTGCATGCCCACATGGATATCAAGAGCAGCTTTATGCTTATATGCTTGTCCACAGATCTCACAGATAAATGGCCTCTCATCACTATGTGTTGCTACATGGGATTTGAATTCACTCATTGTTCTCCACATTTTACCACAAATAGTACACTCATGTTTTGGTGGTTTTGGAAAAGGATCTCTCTTCTTTGGTTTCTTCTCCTTAGCACCTCCTCGGCTATTTCTTTTCCTTTCACCACTTTCAGTCTTTCTTTTGACTGGTTTAGAGCGAGAGGATTTGGGTTCTACTTTTACAAATGGGACATGGTCATTACTTTCTTCTTTCATGACATCATTTTCAGAGCTTTGCTCTTCCTTTGTAACATTTCCATTTGAATCTTCCTTCTCAACTTTTGTGGAAAGAAGAGCATCTTCACTGTCTGTATCTCTCTCTTTATCCTCTTTTTCTTCATTCCTCATATCAAATACATCCTCATCCATCTTCCACTCAAAATCATCATCACTTGAACTACTGCTGTCTGACTGACTACCATCAGGGTCACCTTCTGCTTTATCACTATTTCCTTTTACATGACTGGCCACCTCTTTTAATGTAGCTGGGGTAAGTGATACTGCAACAGTTTCTAAAGGAATGTGACACACTTCTATGATATTTTCAACAGATACATCTTTTCCATGTTGTTTTAATGCATGAATTCCTGCTCCAGATTTTGATCCAAATCTTTTGCCACAGTCCCTGCACTGATATGGTTTTGCGCCACCATGTGATAAAAGATGCTGTTTCACTTCACACGGACGGCGGAAGAGACGACCACAGAGCCTACAAGGATGAACATAACGTCGTCTTCTTCGTGCATCCTTCGTTTTTATCTCATATTGTTTTCCTGATGTAGAGGTACTAGTTTTGTTACTTTCTGCTACATTTACTTGTGGTTTTGCATTTTGGGATTTCTTTCGAGGATTGCCTTTTCTTTTACTACGGTCCTTATTATTATTACTGCTGGATTTATCAACATCTTGATTGTCAGATGCAGTGATGTCATTGTATTTTGATTCATCTTCACTATTCTACAACACAGAATGTGTGATTACAATGTTTCCAATGAAAAGTAAAAATTAACTTAATATTATATTCAATTATTGACATAGTACAACTTACCAGTGATTGGGAAGCATTTTTTCCTTCTGGTTCATTTCCTATGAATTCACACTTTTCAACCTTCAAGGCATTTATGCAATCTATAGATTCATTGTTATGCTGATCATCAGTCTGGCATCCTATACCTTGAACATCCTCCAAATCATACCCATTTTCATGACAACTTCTAGCAAAACAAGTTAAGATATCTTTCTTTAACTTTATGCACTTTTCCTCTGAATAATCTAATTCTTCAAACAATGCAAAACATTTTGTACAAATAAAGGTGCTAGGTATTGAGGACTGTTCTACATTTCTACGTATCACTTTCTGAATAGAATTTGCAAGTAAAGTGCCACTGTGAGGAATAACAGTATAAAATATACTATAGCTTGCATTGACTGACACTTCAACATTACATATTAAACAGTTCAACTGCTTTACATTTTCACCATCACTCATCTTAAAAGCACTTTCAAAAGCGATTTAGAGTAAATCAAAACACTAAAATAATTTCCATTTGTGTGACAGGTAAGGTTAGATTGTACAGGGGTGACCTTGCAGTGACAACAATGGCCCAGGTCTTCTTCGCTATTTACAGACTCAAATATTTAACGTGTCGAGACACTCAAAACTGTAAAGTTATGTTATTAAATATGGCATCACCTGAAGTAGTTTATGCAGCCTTAACAAGTTTCAAAAGATTACAAAATTAGATTGAAAACAAACGTAACAACTTGTCTTTTTTTGTCGACCCCTTTACACCGGATACTATATTGACATGATATCTATTGCAGCCAACATAACTAGACAACTTACATTTCTTACAAAATAAGTTCACACTTTTAAATGTAAGACACATAACTAAGAATATAATATAGTAATAAGTATTACATTATCACTACTACTGCACGGCAAAAACTAAATTAACGGTTATGAAACAGATGCATATTCATTTTGTAGGTTGGTGTAAATGCAAATATTTTGTGGTAATCTTTCTTTTGTTATTGAACTAGTGGAAGAAAATAAATGTCCTTCACGAAAATAAATCTAACGTTAATTACTCTAGAAATGTTAAATTATGTGGTTTTCCTTATTAGATACCTAAACATATTGTTCATACACAATCCAAATTAAATTTACGGAATATACCTTATCATCTGAAGTAATTTAAACTTCCTGAAGAGAAAGAAAGAGAAATTTTGATACATCACACAGTGCATACATTTTACTATACTATTCATGTCAAATCTATACCTAAAATGAGGCCTTTTAATTTGGCGTGAGGACATACTGAAGAAAATAGATAGCATATTCTTGAAAATTAATTAACACATATGTGAGGAAGTTTAATGTCACTACTACAGAGTTGAATGTATTGGGTAAATACATGAAATATGTTCTTTAAAAAGTTATTACATTGTTGTTACATGCTTTCACCGTAAGGTAGCAAAACAAATCAGTAACTGATACAGATAATAGCTTGTGTCATATGTAATTTGTCTTTCATTGTGTGTTGAATGAATTTATTGGGTGAAGTTGACTACGAGAGGAATGTATACCGCAGGTCCCGTTTACTCACAGTGCGATAATTGATTATAATAGCCACAGGTGTGTTTTGAATGCAATTTAATTATGCATTTGCTGAAATTGGACGAGTGTCTTGTAAGGTTTTGTTCTTTGAACATTTCAGCTGGACTGTGATTATTCGTACATATGTGCTGTGAAATATTTGCACATTATTTGTTGTCATTTTCTGTTAATGGTATATTTCGCAAAGTGGGTACTGCATATGTAGAGCACACTGATCTTCGAATGGATCTCTATGTAGAATGTTGATTTTGTAACAGAAGAACCATTTGGTGCAAATTGCCTCTTGGGCGTCATTGCTGTGTGGTCAATACATACGTTACATCTTTTAAGACATTTTTATAAATAAGGATTACGGGCAGAGTCCAATAAAGTCTACTTTCGTTTTATACAGACTACCTGTTGTGGTTAATGCAAATTACACGGCCAGATTCATGCTTTCTAAAAAGTATTTTTTCTTTTGCTCATGATGTAGGTTACAATATTCAAATATAGCGAAATGAACTATATCAAGGATATGGTATAATGTTAGACCCTGGAAAAAAATTTCTATAATTCTACGGCTGAGTGTGTCATTTGAGGATAAGGGCTCAATTCCTCTTTTTTCATGTATATTTTTTGAAGTTCATCCATTTCCACTACTCTTCAGTATGCAATTTTCTCTTGCTCACCTTTACCATTGTTACAAATGCTAAACAACTTTATCCCAAACTGGCTAAACTAGCTATAGTCTTATAGGATTGTATCTGTATAATAATTGTTAGTATTGAATTTCAGCTGTTGCATAAACATGGATTTGATGAAGTGGCCTATCTTCAGCTTACTGGAATCAGATTTTGTTTCACAAATAAGAATGGCTTGTGTTTTTGGTATGTATTGCTTCTTAACAATTTGCCTCTTTAAAATTTGCTTTATCCCAGTACATAAATGTGAAGTCATACATATTTATTAAGATTCTATCAGATGAAAGTGAACTG